AGCTTAGAGTCCAGTATAAAGTTTCTCAAAAGTCAGTATGAGTGTAATCACCTGGGAAACCTCTTGTAATGCAGATTTCTGGATCTGACTCTTAGGGATTCTGATTAATTAAGGCTGAGATAATGCCTAGGAAATTGCATTTATTTTTTGAACAACAACAACTCCTTTTTATACTAATATAGACAGTCTGAATACCTTATTTTGAGAAAACTGTTATAAATTTTTTGATATATATAAAATGTGTGTGTGAATATGTAAACTATATCACATATAAGTTTTATAAAAAGAGCTATGAGTAATTTACTTTTGGACATTAATAGGTAATTAATGATAATATGTCCTATTAGCTATAATAGTTAGATATATAAGTGGGGTATTTTTTAGAAATAGGGATGATAAAATAATGACCTTGCTATTGAAAAATGTAGATTGGCAAGATATTAGAGACTAGGTAACATTCAGTTAAGTCTTTAAAGTTACAATATTTACCAGTCAGAGAAGTTAGGAAATGGCTTTCACAGGGATAGTGGCCTAAACTAAACTAAAAATTGCCTGGCTCTGTCACAAATTACAGAAATCTTGTATGCCAGCATATAATGGAATTCCCATTTCCACAAAAATTAAAAACCCGTGAATGTAAAGACATCATAGCTATGTGTGTTTAGCAGCAAGTTCATTCATTCTTCCCATCCCTGTCACAACTTAATCCTCCCCCACCCCATCTTCCTGCCTCTGGAAATGGCAACTCTATCCAAACATTGATTAAGTCTGAAATCTGGGAGTCATCTTGCCTCTCACTCAGTGCATCCTATTTATCTTTAGATTCTGCTGATTTCAGCTCTAAAATCGAGCCCAATTCTAACCACTTTTACCTTCACTATTCAAGATTAGCCCAAGTCATTTGTCTGTAATCTCTCATTTGTCTCCTATTTTCACTTTTACTTCTCCCAAAACTATGTTGCTATAATTCATTTCCATTATATTCTATTATTTATAGTCAGTGAGTTGAGTTGTTTATACTCATAACAGTATTGATATTTATAGCTTATATATTAATATTTATAGCTTATAGGAAGTGAATCATACTTTCCATAAATATAAACCATATATTGTATCATGCCATTCTATTGCCTAAAGCATTCCATGGATTCCTATAGAAAGTAGAAAAAAGTATGCCTTACCATATATCACACAGCAACACCTTGGTTGGCTACCCATGTCTCCTAACTGCATCTTCTCCTACACTGTAGCCACATTTGCTTTCTTTCTGTTCTTAAGCTACTCTCTTACTCACTTCTTAGCCTTAGAATTAGATCTTATCTCTTATCCAGGATGCTCTGAAATTTCCCTCTCCATTCTCTCACTCTTCATATGATTGGTTCTTTTCCATTATTCAGCCTCAGTCCAGATGCTACCTCCATAGAGAGGCCTTCCGACACCACCCTATCTAGTGCTGGTCTTTTGAGTCCCTCTATCACATTTACCTTCTTTTATCTTTCTTGTAAAAGCTATCACTATTTAACATCATCTTATTAGCTTTATTCCTGCTCTCTCTTACCCTTGGTTGGAAAGAAATCAAGAACTAGCCTGTCCTGTTTGTTGGTGTATCTTCAGTAATAGAACAGGGCCTGGCCTATTGTAAGTGCTCAGTAAGTGCTTTCCAATTAGCAGAGTAGGCTAGTAGAACTGTGTGTTAGTTTGGAGCGCAACTTGAGGGTAGAGGCAATGTCTTACTCACTTTTGAATACCCCAATCCTGACACAGTGCCTGGCAGTTTTAGGAGGTGATAAATAATTTTATAATTGAATTTGATTGAGTATTAATTCACAAGTTCTCAGAGTTGGAATAAATTTAAGATATTGTACTATCCAGTTCCTGAATTTTGTATTTCACAGGTCATAAGCTGATTTCTAATTCTATAGGATAACACAATAGCATTCTTAGCTACCTAGTTTAGTATTCTTTCCACTTAACCGTGCTGTGAAATCAAATTTCTATATGTTTTGAGAAATGTATTTTCTAAGAATTCTTTTTATGTATAAATTCTCAGCAGTTGATATAATGGAATAAGAATGTCAATAGACAATAGTGTTTTGCAAACTTTATTTAAGATCAAAATACTGGGTCTTTTGATAAGAATATTATTTGTTATTAAAACACTACCTAAAATCATGTTGCTATAGTTACATTTTATTTAATTCTAACTTTGTATTTAGAATAGCAATAACGGTTATCATCATATTAAATAGTATTCAGTGAATTACTCCTATTCTTTATATCCTTACCAGTAATATTGTACCCATTCATATAATTTGAAGGCACTATTGAATTTTGTCTTCCCAAAAGTTGGCTTAGTTTATTAGTAATCATAGAGCATATATTCTTTAGTTAACACCAAGGAAATTTAATTTTGTTACATTTAGAATATAACTGATCAGTGCTAATCAATAATTTCTTACGATTGCATTGACAGTGATGGTGTACGTTACTCCAGAAGTAACTTCTTACACTTTTAATCTACAAACTGAGATTTTTTTAAAATTATGGAATGATCCCCTCAATCATGGCATTTTTAATTAGTGCCAGTATTAATGTTGTCTTATATCTTAAACTTAACAGCAACATTATACCCTTATATATTAAGCATTAGAAAGAATGATATATTGACTTAAAAAAACAATAACAGAATCAGTAATCAAATTGAGGCCTCTTCTATCTCTTTCTGTCTTTTAATTACTTTAAATTACACTTTGAGCATATTTCCAGTAAGAAAGATGGTCTGTTTCTTTGCTGTGTGCTAGGCATAAGTCTGACCTGTCCTTTGTGTCCTTTTTCTCAATGGGGATCAATTACCTTTAAATACTGTGACAATCAAATGTTCTTGTCAGTGTTTGTACTCTTTTAGATTTTCTGAAGGGCATCTACATTATATTAAATATTTCTTTCTTCATTTCTGTGAATTGGCAGAAGTCCAGTCCTTACTCATAGCATTTTCTTTTGGTTTGTTTTTTTTAAAGTAAGAGTTGTAAATTCCTTTAAATTTTACCTTGACTGAGACATACCATTGTACAGATACTAAAATGTGGTTTACCCCATAGAGTAGAACTTTTGGTTTATATTGTGAATTATTGTTACACTCACTGACTTGTGCGGCTACTGTTAGCGCCCCTACTATTTCTTCCTTATGTAGACGTGGAGAGTTTGGTTCTTGATTGCTATAAATATGGTTCTTTACATATTATAGATAAAAGAGGAAATCATTTCTAACTTATAGTCATAAAAATTAAAAAAATAACTCCCAGGGATAATTATATATATATGTTTTTATCACTTAGGCATATTTTAGCCTGTTATTTTTCTCTGAGCACAAATAGACACAAAGGATCAGTCTTATTTTAACTTATTCATAATTTTATTTCAATAAAAAATATTTTAAGAATTGATTTCTGAAATTTTCATTAAAGTCGGTACCCTTTGAAACTTACCTTGGTCAATTTTAATTGCTTAAATAATTACATACTGTATTCAGAGTCTTCTGAAGTATTAGACACATTCGAACTAGATTTTTTTGTCTTTAAAAAAAGACAAACTCCACTTTGGTAGGCCGAGGCAGGCAGATCATGAGGTCTGGAGATCAAGACCATCCTGGCTAACATGGTGAAACCCTGTCTTTACAAAAAATACAAAAATTAGCTGGGTGTGGTGGCACGTGCTTGTAATCCCAGCTTGGGAGGCTGAGGCAGGAGAATTGCTTGAACCTGGGAGGCAAAGTTTGCAGTGAGCCGAGATCGCGCCACTGCACTAGTGACAGAGCAAGACTGCGTCTCAACCAAACAACAACAACAACAACAACATCAACTCAATGGTCATTAAATATTTAATACATGATGACCGCCTGTAGTCACTTTTTTGAATTTTATATTTTTCATTGAGTCACTAGAATGAAAACAATGTTCTATGGCATAGGTTCCATCAAATTAGAGTTTTTATGATAATGACAATTGCACATTAACTCACCTAATAGTTTTACAAAGCCAGTTTGTGTTAAGGGAGTGCAAAGTTATCTTATAATATAATTATGTTTACTATAAACATATTTACCTAAATCAGAACAATAATTTATTACATTAAAGCATTTACCTGCCCTACAAATTTTTAAATATGTACCTTGAAAACTCTCTTGGCCTTATTAAGTAATATTTTGTGAGAAGTACCAAATTAGAAATTAGTTATGTTGTGTTAGTGTAAGATTTGAAGAGATTTTTTTTTCCTACTGTGAAAGAAGCAAACATGCTGAAGAAACCAGCTAAGTTGACTTTCAAAATAGATCAAGACAAAGTAGTGACTGTCCTAGTGGAACAATGTAATAACCTGACAGAGATGGGTGCTTCTGGAACTTTTCCAGAAGAGAGTGAGCTCATCCTTCGGAAAATTAGAGATGTGATCTCAATTTCTTTAAAGCCTGTGTTTTTCCAAATATTCATGTAGATTTTGTAAATTAGTCTGCTTTGTTGCCATATTTTTAAATGTAAGAATAAATTACAGATCATCAAGTAAAATTGGTTCACTAGGAAGTGGCACCATGCTTTTTCTAAGGGTTTTTTTCTTGCAAGGTATAGTGTGGTATTGTCCTGGAATTTAAGACACATGTCGTGGTACTTGGCTTTGGAATACATTATAAAATTGTGTGTTGTTTCTTTATGAAGTTGACTTAGTTTATAGATATTTTCCTTTGTGAATATTAAAATTAGTTTGTTTTTCTCTGAATGTAGGAAAATTAGGAAAAAAATACACAGAAGTGTTCTTTATGACATTGGAAAAGTAATTTGAGATTAAGAAAATGTGGTTAGCTAGAAAGGGTGATAGTCAAAGTTAATTTTGCATAAACTCTGTTACATGAACTTAACTTCTCTGTGTGCAGGGACCTGGTAACTTGTATCTTTAACTACTCATTCAAATTTTTAAAAGTTGATTTAAAATCTTTTTACTTTTAATTTTAGATTGGAAATCACAGAGACCTTCAACATCAAATTTTCCACTTTCCAACTCTGTTAAAGAAAGCTCCAGCTGCCTTTCATCCTCTCCTTGTCGATCAAGAAGTGCAGCTGCTCAATCATTGTCTAGAGCTGCTTCTGAAATTTCAGAAATTGAATATATTGATATTACTGACCAGAATGAGCTTTCCGTATATGACACTACTGATCAATGTACCTTAGACAGTTTGGAAAAAGAATTACAAGTGCTGACAACTCTTGCAGGTAATGCTATTTTTTTCACTTTCGATAATGCTAATTAACTCTACCCTCAGCCTGATTCTTCATGTCTTGCGCTAACAAAACAAGCCAGCAAACAAGAAAGCTTTCCTTTTTCTTCTTTAACCATCAACCATTGTGTCTGTTTTCCTGGAAATCCCCTGACATCACTCTGAATATGTTTAAAAATGTGTAGATGCCCAGCCACACCAAAGATGGTCCCCATAGCCTATAAAACACAGCTAAATTGTGGAATGAATAATTTCATGTGCACAGAAAAAAATCTTTTTTTCTCTTTTCTGCAAACCCACTATAGGATTAATCTCTATGGCTTTATGTAAGCCACTGTTCAACATCCTTATTGGAAAACTGAGCCGTTAGATCTTTTAAAGCAGTGCTTTTCAAACTTAAATGTTTATACAGATCTTTCAGGGGATCTTGTTACAATGTAAATTCCGATTGAGTATGTCAGGTAAGGTGAGATTCTGTATATCTAACAGGTACCCAGGTGATGCCAGTGCTGCTAGTTGACAAACCATATCTTGAAAAATTATACCTGTGCATTTTATTTCCAACTTCAGTGGACCTAGTCTAGCAATATAGTGACCATATTCTTGAACATGTAAAGTTCTGGCTCAGTAGCAAAACATCAGGGGAATTAATCTTGTATTTGCATCATAAAGGCACTCACACAGTTTGAAAGAAGCCAGCTGCAGATCCAAGAGACAGGCTAGAAAATTATTTGGTCCCATATATTCCATACTTGCTTTTCCCTTGTTCTCCTGTTAGTGGTCTCCTCCTTTATTGATCTTAGAATAATGACTGCTATTTCTCTATAAATTATACATCTTTGTTTTGAAAAAATTAAAGCAATACAAAAATACAAAAAATAAAAAATAAAAACTCACCACAAATTCTAACTACTCTTAAAATAACCATTATTAACATTTTGTGAGAATCATTTTAAACATCACTGTTAATATAAGTATACATATAAGAATATAAACTTAGTAGAATGAACAGATTGAAGGAACGTGATAAAAATTTTACAAAAATAGGTCTGTGCACTCCATAATATATTTTAAGTATACATTTAACCAACTTAATAAAAGGAAAATAAAAATAAAATTAAAATTAATCATACATTTCAGATAAATGTTTTTCCACCACAAAAATATTAAGTTGAACTTGTTATAAATGAATTTATGATGCCGCAAAAGGAACAGTGCTTGAATATAAATTTAGTTTCCTCAGCAAGGCAATTTACTTTTGCAAAAGGGTGCCACTCCTATCAATCAAGATCACAAGTGCACAACAAACAAATGATACCATGGGGTTTTTATATCCCTAACACGATCCCTATTTCTGTGTTCTTCCCCCATGGGCTGGGGTCAGACCACACAATCTGAGCTGATCTGATTGGCTACTTGTAAATATTTTTCTAAATATGGATGGGAGGCGGACGTGAGGTACAGTTATGGAGCGTGTGAGATATGCAGTTTCAAGGAAACAATGGGTACAGGTAACCAAGGGAACAGGTGTGAGTTATTGATTAGAACTGATGGGAAGGAGGTAGGCTGTTTACAGTAACTGTTGGCAAGGAAAAACAAGGAAGTTGAGTTGGAGAACAAAGGGTAAGGAAGTTAACAGGCTAAACCTTTTGAAGAGAAACTCAGAAAGATTCATTGTCTCTTACAATTCCTCCCTTTAAAATTTTTATAATCCCTTCTCTTCAAACCTTTTTAACATGTCCTGGCTTTGCTGTTCAACTTGGTCTTCTAAAAGGAAAGGCTTATCTGAATAGGGTGGAGGAACATGAAGGGAGGTTTTAGTGAGTGTTGTCTTTATAAGCCTTTGTACCAGCCCACGGATGCATGGTATGATGCAACACCCAACAAGAATAAGCACACCTATCATGACTGCAAGAGAAATGAAGATTGGGGCCATGACTCCTTTCCATTTACCAAACCATCTTTCTAACCATCCTGAAAGAAGGCTATCAATTCCAGAATTTTTAGCTAGTTCATTGGACAAAGCAGTCAGTCTCTGTAAGGCCTTTCTTATGCTTCTGTTAGAGGCAGTATTGTTTGGGATAAAGGTGCAATATTGAGTTTTGATCATAATACAAACTCCACCTTTTTCAGCTAACATCATGTCTAGGGTCATTCTATTTTCCCAAACCATTTGGCTAGTAGGTCCTAATTGCTCAACTATTCCTTTGACAACATCTCTAGTGTAATTAATAAATCGTTGCTGGTTATAGTAGATATAATTAATCCAATCTACATTTTTATTAATAGTTACCCATGGAAATAATGATTCAAATCCTGCAGCTATTTGATCTCGGGCTTTGAACCTATCAGGTACCCCCCGTGGTACTCCAATTGCGTCTAAATAAACTTCAGAGTCAAAAGACCCATAAGGGGCTTCTCTTATTTTATGGCTTTGTGTTTTTTCTTTTCCTGGTTGATGAAATGCCAGGGTGAGAGGGATAGCCAATTGGACAAAAGCGTAAGTACTGCTCCAGTTACCTGACAGAGTGTCCAGTAAGGGTCCACGACAACACCTCCATACATCTGCTTGAGGATGACTAAGGGGAGACTGAAGAGTAAGCTCCTGGAAAGGCTTAAGATCACTATATCCCACTAAGCTTCCAAGGAACACTAAATTCTCCCTCTGTTATGAGAGACACAAGGTGAAATTGACATCAGAAGACAGAAGCTGAATGGCCCTCGGGGGCTGACCCACAGGGTGTTGGATTTTGGGATATAGCAGAGAGAGAGGTTGCCATGATTTGTTGCCCCAAGCCATGGAATCTTGGAAGAGAGCTACCATGCAGCCCATGCCCAGTCAACTGGGAAACCATCTGAGTGGAAAGGGGATGATCTGGGCCTCTGGCCGGCCGAGTGCACAAGCATAACAATTGCTTTTATTTAATGTGAGACAGAATATTTGATCCATTCCAACCAGGCATTTACATCTTGATATCCTGTTTCAATTGCTGAAGTTTGCCTTACATCATCTTCTGCTACAATATCTACTTTAGTATTACCATTAGGTACAGAAGAGATGGCAGTCTGATTAGAAGAAAACTCAGAAGGAGAAGAGAAGGAAGGGGGTGAAGAGAATGAAGGATTAATAAAACGCATTTCAAAAGACTCTCTGAGCTCTGTGCAGCCAAGTTGGCTCCTGTGCCATAGAAGCGACTTAAAGTAGGTTTAGGATCAGTAGATGTGGGAATGAGAATAGAAATTTATATGGGATTACATTGGTTATACTGGCAATTAGGGGAGGTGCTCTCCTTAGTGAAATGAATGTATGGTTTTAAGGATAAACCATACATTCACCATACAACCACCTGCTGATGAGGTCCAGCCTTGATATTCGGTTATCAACAGGACATCCTTCCAGCTATGACAGACTTGTTTTTCTATATTTGTTAAGGAACAAGAGTCTTGATAGGGGGAGCCTTTCACTTTAAAGGGGCGGACATACTTTTCTGAGGCTGAGAATTTCTGACTTTGGAGATCTCTACAGGGTATGACTAGACAAGCATCAAACGTAATAACTTGGGGTGTGTTTGATTTAGCTACATTAATGACAAGGTGGTCAGCATTGGAAGGAGAAAAGAAGAAAGAGTAATAAAATAGATGGAAGATAGTTAAATTTTTCTTAACTTTAGTTTGAGGGGGGTTTTCCCCTGGAATAATGGCACATGACTTCGGGGGTGATGGTGCTTTCTTGACTTGAGTGTGATGGGTCCATCCTTTCTCTGCTGTCTGGACTGCAGTTTCAATGGTCAGGAGCACTAGGTAGGGTCCCTCCCAGGCCAGCTCAAGGTTTCCTTCTTTCCAGCTTTTGAGGAGGATGTGATCCCTGGGCTGGTGCTAATGGACCAGGAACTGTAAGGGTGGCGTCTGTACCATGAGACCTTTGGCTTTAAGAGAAGAGAAGGTAAAGGAGAGACCAAATATGCAATTACTGAGGAATTGACCTTTTGTCTCAAATGTAGGGATACAGGTAGTGGAGTGTACATAGGGCAGTCCATAGAGCATTTCATAAGGGGAAAGGCCTATATCCTTTTGAGGTGTAGTTTGGATTCTTAACAGGACAATAGGAAGACATTTGGTCCATGGTAACCGAGTCTCTACAACTAATTTGGTTAAGTGATTTTTTAAAGTTTAATTCATCCTTTCTACTCTCCCTGATGAAGATGGATGCCCAGGTGTATGATATTCCCATTTAATGTCTAGGTCTTGGGACAACTTTTTAATGACGTGTGCTGTGAAATGGGTTCCATTGTCTGAGTCAATGTTCTCTGTTAGTCCGAATCTATGCACTATATTTTCATTTAGTGCTTTTACTACATTATTGGCCATTGCATTTGAAAAGGGAATAGCTTCAACCCAGTGAGCGAGGTGATCTACTATTAATAACAAATACTTTAGATGAGCTATTAGGGGCATTTCAGTGTAGTCACTCTGAATACTTTGGAATGGTCTTAGCCCTGGATTCCTCCCTACCAAGGGCGGTTTCTTTATAACTTGTTTGTTGTTTTTTTTACATATTAAGCAACTCTCCGTGACTTGTTTGGCCAAGGTATAAATTCCTATACATCCGTGAACTCTGCGAACTGTGTCACACATGGCTTTGGGTCCCCAATGGGTCTTTTGATGGAAATGAGACAGGATTTCTCTCAGGAGGGGTTTGGATAGCATTTCCCTTTGGTATGGTAATACCCATTTTCCTTCTGAGTTTTCTTTGGCCCCTATTTTTATTAATTTTTCTTTCTCCATGGCTGAGAAGACAGGGACTGCAGTAGGGGAAGACAAGGGGTTAAGTGAAAGACAGGTGTTCCAGATGAAAAGGCAGTCTGCTTGGCTATCTGATCTGCTAAATTGTTTCCCTAGCTTTCAAAAGAAAGGTTTTTCTGTTGTCCGGGAACATGAACAATAGCTACTTCTTCGGGCAACTGAAGGTTATCTAATACTTGGGTGATTAACTCC